ACGAGTTGTACGCTTCACTTGAAGTGGATGAAGGGGCATTGCACCTGTCAAATGCCAGTTTTTGTTTTGTTAGTGATGTTTCTAGGAAATTCTTAAATATTTATCTGTATATACATTTGTTTATGTGAACCTCAGTGGCGTCCCATAGGGTGTAGATTTCTGCTGATTCCACTCGGTGACGTCTCAGAGCCATGTTACCTTTTTAGTCTTATTTTTAGATTTGTAATATTTTTAAACTGCTTTAGATATCAGTGCTCATGGTGTTCTCGAAGTGTGGTGCTCTTGGAGGCCTGAGTGAGCACAGGAACACCTGCAGAAGGAAGAGGCTTGAGCCTGGGATGGAGTGATCCCGCTCTGGTCTGGGGGTTCTTCCAAAACCCTTCGTGTCTGCCTGCAAACACTACAGGTGTAACCAGGGCAGGACAGGCTGTTCCTGTCCCGTCTGTGAAGTGGTTGCGTGGTGTGGAGGGACACCAGGCTGCTTTTTGGGGGGTTAGAGCAGAGCTTTTGTACTGTATGCATTCCTTGAGAGAGGCACCTGCTTGTCTCAACTAGTTTCTGCCCTTCCTCTGCCCTTCGGTGTCCTTGACACTTCCAGGTAATTTAGGAAATGCCTTTGGTGCTGGAGGTTTTTCCTACCCCATGCAACTGGATATTGGCATTGTGTTTAGCAGGAGGCTCTTCCAAGGTGGTCAGGGAGCGTTTTGAAGCCCCCACCTCGTGTTCATTCTGGATGCTGCTGAAATCCACGTTAGTCTTGGAGCACTGACCCGTGACCCCCCCAGTCCACGTGTTTATAGTGTCAGGTTGGTACAAACTTCACATGCTTAATTATTTGATGCCGCTTCTCTGTGTCATAGTGGAAATCATCTAGTTTGTAGTGTGTCATTGCACCAACAACTGCTTAAAATGCCTGGAGAGAAATGTAACTGGTGGCTAACAACATGGCAGGAAACTTATCAGTGTTCAGGTCCTGCAAGAACCGTGGGCTGCTCCACATGCTGCCTTGGGAGGCCACATGCTCTCCAGGACTCAGCAACACAGAAATTCCCACTTCCTTCCAAGAAGATGCTTCCTTGACAAGAAGAAGCTGCCTGAGGAAAGCTGTCTTGACAAGCCAAATGCCATAAATCTGGAGGACAAACCTTCATTTGGAAATCAAATGCCAACGGTACATGCACAGTTGTTGTTAGAAGGGTAGAAGCTGGGAATCTCTGGTGGATATAGATTATATATATACATATATATATGTATAGAGGAAGCTTATATAAAGTGGCTGTTCCTTCTGGAGTGCTGTTGTCTCCTCCCTTTCCCACCCTCCAGCCATGGGTGCACTCTTGCAGTCTGTGAGCAGTTGCTTGTCATTCCCTTCCAAAAATGTAACAATTCACGTGAATTCCTTGAGCTGCCCTGTGTCCTTGGCCCCTGTGGCCAGAGCTGGGCTGTGCCTGCTCCCACTTCCCTTGGGAGGAGGGAAACCCAAGGGTAGCAAGGGAGGAAAGGGGCTGTTCTTGAATGACCTGGGCTTGCACAGGCTGCTCGGTGGTGTTTAAGTGTGGTGGACACGCTCAGCACTCGAGGTGGAGCAGAACACCTTGATGGGGGTTTTTTCCTTCTTGACCATGTTGTCTCTCTGGAGCAGGATGGGGTGAGCTGATGGAGCAAGGTCCAAACCCTCCCTGCAGGCTGTGGGTCCCAGCACTGTGGGTGTGTTTGTCTGGATATATGCACATATCAATATAGCTGCACCCCAGGTGCATGCCTGGTACCTGCTGCTCTTTCTTCTTTGGTGGGAAAAATGTGAAATTTGGTTCATAGTGCTGCTGGGACCTTTCAGCCAGACAAGCAGAAGGTGTGAGGTTTGTGTGTCCAGAATTGTTCTCCCTCCTTTCAGCTGCAGGACAAAACAAACCCAAATGAGACCTTGTGGGGTTAAATGAGTGAAGGGAACGGGGAAGGATCCTGGTGTATAAATAGGTAGAGGATGCAGGAGAGCTGTGCTGCTTGGAAAGGAAAAGCAATCCCCTATTCCCAAGGCTTCACGGCAGAAATGGGGGAATATTGGGGGGGATTCTTTTATCTCTTACATGTCTAAAGTTCTCTAGATGGACTTTGGAGTTTGCCAAGTTCTGAACACTCGCTGTTCCCTGCTCGGCTGCCGAGCCCATCGCCATCATTCCTTTCCCTTTTCCCTTTTCCCTTTTCCCTTTTCCCTTTTCCCTTTTCCCTTTTCCCTTTTCCCTTTTCCCTTTTCCCTTTTCCCTTTTCCCTTTTCCCTTTTCCCTTTTCCCTTTTCCCTTTTCCCTTTTCCCTTTTCCCTTTTCCCTTTTCCCTTTTCCCTTTTCTCCCTTCCTCCCCACCTTCACCCACCTCTCCAGGGCTGGGTGGGGATGGTTTGTGTCCCCTCAGACACCCGAGGTGGTTCATATTCCATGTTGCATGTGAGCAAGGCCCTGAGCTGAGTAATTCCTGGTGGGGTTTGGTTGTGTTGGCCTCTTGACGAAGCCCGAGGGAGCAGAGGAGATGGGCAGGGGTCACATCCTGCCTGGCCCTGGGCTCCCCTCGAGAGGGGCAGGATGGAGGGGGGAGCCCCTCTTTAAAAAAAAAAAAAAAGGAAACAAAAAAAACTGTAAAAAAAAAAAAATTTTAAAAAACCAAAACAAAACCAA